CAGAGGGTCTGCAGTCTGGAGCAAACACAACTTGGGGTTGGGTTTCCGGCCCTGCAGCCCCTCGGGTCTGCTCCAGCCACTGGATCCAGGGACGGCAACCTGACCACTTACCCCTTGCGCAGTGCCCATCCCGTGAACCCCACTGAGGGGTCGGCCCCTCTGCATGTCTGCGGCCTCGGCGGCGGGCAACCAGAAGGTGCACCTGTGGGCTCCAGTTATGGGGCTGTCCTCCTTGTTGAATAAGGCCCACGGGGTGAAATGTTTTCCTCTGCAGGGAGGTGGGATGGCATTTTCTCAGACAGGCATTTGCAAGGCTCAGACAGCCATGGGGACATGGCCATGAGATCCAAGCTCTGACCTGGCCCAGAGGTTGAAGGCTTGGGGAAGACTTGGGTCGAGGCATCAGGTACTCTTCGAGGTTCCTGGGACAGATTCACGGGGGGCACCTTCAACAAGCCCTGGCCTCCAGGGCTGACCTGACCTGAGGGCCCTGACACGGCAGCAGAACAAGACTGGGGCCTGTTTCGGACACAAGTGAGGAAAGGTTTGCTCTACAAACTGAGATGGTCCCTGTACTGCCCCGCCCCAAACGTCGGCATCGGCTCACTCACAGATGGAGCTCTTCTCTTACAGATATTCATCAAGGAGGAATGTTCACACAGCAAGTGTATGAGCCCTTGTGCTGTGCTACTGCCCCTTCCGTCTAGTGTTAAGACACTTCCAAACACTCACCCAGGAAAACGCCCCGTCACCACTATGTAATCGCTCCCCTTCCTCCCCACAACCCATCTGCATTCTGCCCCCGGATTTGCTTATTCTGGATAATTCCTTTAAAGGGAAGCAGATAGCACGTGGACTCCTGTGTCTGATTTCACTCACTGGGCATGTTTCAGCGTTCATATGCGCTGCAGCGTCAAGTGCTTCGCCATGTCTTGTGGGTGAAGCGCTCCGTTGCACGTCACTCCGTTTATCTTTCCACCCACTGCTGGATGCTGGGTGTTTCCGCCTTTGGCTGCTGTGAAGTCACATGCAGGCTTCCATGTGGTTGCACGTTTTTGTTTCTCTTGGATGTACACCTAGGAGCTGAATTGCTGGGTCATGTGGTAGTTGTATGTGTGACGCTTTCGAGGAGCCACGAGACTGTTTTCCCATCCGCACCCGTTGTGTGGGAGGGTCCCCTTCTCCCCTCATTCTCCCCTGGTTCCACTGGAACATCAGACCCACCCTTGCAGTGGGAAGCAGGACCTCACTGGGGTTGTGACTGGCATTTCTCTGATGAGCATCTTTTCATGTGCTTGCCGGCCCCGTACACATCTTCTTTGGAGTGACATCTATTCAAGTCCTATGTCCATTTTAAAAATTGAGTTTGTCTTTATGTTGTTGAGTTGTGTTTTATACATTCTGGATGCTAAACCCTTACTAGATATATAATTGGCAATTATTTTCTGCCATTCTGTAGGCTCTTGTTACTCTCTTGAGAGTGTCTTTTGATGTACAAAAGGTTTTCATTTTTATGAAGTCCGACATGTTTGGTTGCCTGTGTTTTGGTCATGAAGACTTGTTTTCTTCCACTACTTTTATAAGCTTTAGGTCTTATTTACGATCTCTTTATTTCAACAGATGTGTTGAGATTTTATGTTTCTTCTTTTGTCAATGTTGGTACTTTGTGTGTTTCTAGGAAATGTCTGTTTCACCTCCATCATCAGACTTGCTGGCCCAATGTTGCTCAGTATTCTTATGATCCGTATGCTTTCTGTAAGATTGGTAGTAACCCAAACCTTTATTTCCGTTCTTAGTTATTTTTGTCTTATCTCTTTTTTTTCTTGTATAGCTAATTTCTAGACTATTGTTAGGGTTTGTCAATTTTGTTGATCTTTTAAAAGAACCAGCTTTTGGTTTTATTGTCTCTCTATTGTTTTTGCATTCTCTGTTGCATTTATTGCTACTCTGATTTTCACTATTCTTCCTGGCGGCTTTGGGCTTACATGGCTTTCCTTAAGGTATACTGTTAAGTTGTTGATTTGAGATCTTTATTCTTTTTTAATAGAAAAGGTAGTTTGCTTTCTTTCTTGAGGTGTAATTGACACTTAAGTTTAGTTTCAGGTGTACAACATCATGATTCGATATTTGTGCATATAGCTAAGATTCACTCTCAGCATTTTTCAAATATGCAATATAGTTAAATATGCAAAGTAAACTATGCAAAATCTTGCTATATATATTCCATTTCCATTCTTCTCTTGGTACTTTCTAATTTCCTTAGTGATTTTTTCTTTGATCCATTGGTTGTTTAAAAGTATGTTATTTAATTTCTGAAAATGCAAAATGAACAAGATTAAAATGACCTTAAGCATGTCTAAGATGTTCTGAGGCATATCACAAGCTATCATTATGCAAGTTAACTATTCCAAGTTTATTCTCACAACCAGCTGCACATTTTCTCACAGCACATTGGACATTATTAACTACAGTCACCAACACCCCCATAACATTTATTCTACAGCTGGGAGTTTGTACCTTTTGACTCGCTTCACCCATTTCGCCCACCCCAATGCCACCCAACCCACCCTGCAACCACCTGTCCTCTGTATCTGAGCTCAGTTTTGTTGTGTTTTTTTTTTCCAGATTCCACATAAGTGAGATCATACCATATTTGTTCTTTTTTCTAATTTCCTTAGTAATTTCTCCTTTGACCCACTGGCTGTCTGAAAGTGTGTTATTTAATTTCTATGTATTTGCAACTATTCCTATTTCCCTTTTGTTATCAATCTCTTTGTTTCATTGCATTGTGGTCAAAAATAGTCTATATGATTTCAGTTTTTAAAAATGTACTGGGAGTGATTCTGTGGCCTAAGATGTGGTCAGTCCTGGAGGATGTTTTATGTGCCCTTGAGAAGAATGTGTGTCTGTTCTTGCCTTCTGGCGTGTCCTTCATGGGTCTGTTCGGTCTAACTGGCTTACAGTGAGAGCCGAGTCCTCTTTCACTTCCTGATATTCCCATGTTCTGGAACAAATGTTTTTTCATCTCGATTTAACAAATGTTTGCTCATCAAACATTTATCAACCCAATGAATAAATCCACAATGAGCTACATATATATACGGCAAGTACTGAACATCCAGAGGCGGATCACTGGCTCATTGTATAGCGATACCTGCTGCGGCCAACAGCGTGTGTGGTGCAGGAGGCAGAGAACTGATGCCTTACTGCCCAGGCGAGCAGGGTGCAGAGGACCTGCCCACCGGTAGCCAAGCAACAGGACGTAAGATCCTGAAAATGCAAGGGAGCTGCCGATAACTGGCACTGCAAATTTAAAGAACTGGTTGAAGAAGTTTTCTGGGCTTCAGGGGGAAAGTTGTCCTTAAACTCCAGGCAAAGGGAACAGAAGCAAAGGCCAGAAGCCCAGCAAATGGCGCTTGACTGGAGCTTCAGAGGTGCGGGCCGGTGTTGGACCGAAGGGTGCCGGGGACTTGGCGAGCTTGTGGGAAGCACGGATGCAGAGCCCAGTGGCTGGGCTTACGGCGCTGATTCTGCGTCGGGACTTCACAGAGCAGGGCTCCGCAAAGGGGAGAACCTGCTTCTCTAGAGCTGCTTGAGAAGGCCTGGAGGAGTGAAGCGTGGGGCAAGGCAGTGAGGCCTACCGGAGGCGGGCGGGCGGGCTGGCCCGGTGGGTGGGGCCTACAGGAGGGGAGAGCGGGCCCAGTGGGCGGGGCCTACCAGAGGGGAGAGCGGGCCCAGTGGGCGGGGCCTACCGGAGGGGAGAGAGGGCCCAGTGGGCGGGGCCTATGGGAGGGGAGAGCGGGCCCAGTGGGCGGGGCCTCCCATGCAGAGGCTGGGGCTATGGGTCACGGACGTTGTGGAGCGGGAGTCCTGCCCATCAGGCCCAGCGAGGCCAGAGCACAGGCCCCCAGACCCCAGGACGGCAACAACACGTGTGCTTTCCCGCTCAGGCCACTTGGTGGGTGGAGGTCCTGTAGCCAGAGGAGGAGGAGGAGGAGGAGGTCGTGGCAGGGCCACATGGCAGACGCCTGGCCCTGATGGGACTGCCTCAGTGATGACGCCATGAGGCCAGACCTGCAGGAGCTCCAGAGGCACAGCCTGCCTCCCTGGCCTTGTGCAGCAGTGTCCTTGTAGGACCCCTGCCTCCATTTTGTTTTCCTCATTTTGAGTTTCTATGTGCCTCCATTTTGTGTCCGCCATCTTGAATAGCTGTGTCCCCTACATGACTCCTGCCTCCATTTTGTGTCTTCCATTTTAAATAACTATGTCCCTCCATTTTGTTTTGTGTCCTCCATTTTGAGTTTCCCGCTCAAGCCACGCCCATTCCCGCGGAAATCTTGCGCAGCAACCCTCCTCAGCCAATCAGCTATGGTCACAATAAGCCACCCGCCTTGGAAAGCCCCTACCTGTTTTTGCTGCAGTATAAAAGCGAAAAGGAAACTGTTGAGTGTGAGTCCTGTGTTCTGACGGGCTGCTGGGTCCCTAGTTCCAACATTTCGCGACTGAGGCTGGTGACTGCGGCTCCGCACGGGGGACTCAAGGAAACAGGGCACAACATTTGGGGGCTCGTCCGGGATCCCCGTGAGGAGCAGCAGCCCCAACCACCGGGTGAGGTCTTCATTGAGTTTGGAGGTGACTAGTCACGCCAGCCGCAGGCCGGCTGGCTTTGGGGGGGCAGTAGTCCTAGCAGGACCCGCCCCGTCTGGTTCAGGGCAGCGGGAGGCCGGGAGGCTGTCGCAGGCTCAGGACTGTAGCGAACGGCCCTGGGTCTCGGGGGTCAGTCTTCTCTAGAGAGAAGAATGATTGGAAGATATTTCTGTCAGACTTCTGGAAGGGTTTTTTTTTTTCTTTTTGGTGGGTTTTGTTAGTCTTATTGTCCTGATTTGTGTTGTCATCATCTACTTCCGTTAGTCATATTGTCCTGACTTGTGTCGTCGTCGTCGTCTGGCCGGTTCTGACTTTTCCCCCATCACTCTTACGCGCACGGCCCTCACCCAGCCATGGGGCAAGGGCCGTCTTCGCCGCTGAGCCTCATGACTGACCACTTTTCTGATTTCAGGACCGAGGCTCGCAGCCTTAGCCTGGAGGTCCGCAAGAGCAGACTCATAGCCCTTTGCTCCGCAGAGTGGCCCGCCCTCGGGGTGGGGTGGCCCCCGGAGGGATCCCTCGCCCTCCCTGCGGTTCGGGCGGTTCGGGACAGAGTCACGGACCCGGGGCCCGGGGGCCACCCCGACCAGGCCCCCTACATACGCGCCTGGCAGCACCTTGTTGAGAACCCCCCTCGCTGGCTGACACCTTTTCTCCCGCCCGCTCCCACGGCAGCCTGTGCCCCCCGCTTCCAGGAGCCGCCGCCTGCGCCGCCCGCCCCGCCCGCCCTGCCTGCCCCCCCCGAGCCGCCACCCCCGGCAGTCCAAGCCATCGCCAAATACGACTTCAGAGCTACTAGAGACGACGAGCTGAGCTTCAAGAGGGGGGACATCCTCAAGGTTTTGAATAAAAATTGTGATTGGAACTGGTACAAGGCAGAGCTCAATGGGAAAGACGGCTTCATTCCCAAGAACTACGTAGAAATGAAGCCACATCCGTGGTTCTTCGGCAAAATCCCCAGAGCCAAGGCAGAAGAACTGCTCGGCAAACAGCGGCAGGATGGGGCCTTCCTTGTCCGGGAGAGCGAGAGCGCCCCCGGGCAGCTGGCCCTCTCGGTCAGGTGCGGGAACGCCGTGCAGCACTTCAGGGTGCGCCGAGCCGCAGCCGGGGAGTATTTCCTCTGGGCCGAGAGGTTCAGTTCTTTGAAGGAGCTGGTAGATTATCACAGATCCACATCCGTCTCCAGAAGCCAGCAGATATTCCTCCGGGACATAGAGCAGGTGCCACAGCAGCCAGCGCACGTCCAGGCCCTCCTTGACTTTGACCCTCAGGAGGATGGAGAGCTGGGATTCCGTCGGGGAGACGTTATCCGTGTCCTGGATAACTCGGACCCCAACTGGTGGAAAGGGGCTTGCCGCGGGCAGACCGGCATGTTTCCCCGCAATTACGTCACCCCCGTGCAGACCCATAGTGGGACAAGAATGCCCACCCAGGCACAAAAAGGGAAGGGGGGAATGTAGGACCCCTGCCTCCATTTTGTGTCCCCCATTTTGAGTTTCTATGTGCCTCCATTTTGAGTTTCCCGCTCAAGCCACGCCCATTCCCACAGAAACCTTGCCCAGCAACCCTCCTCAGCCAATCAGCTACGGTCACAATGAACCCCCCCCAGCCTCCCCCCC